ACAACTACAAGTGGGGCCCAAAATTTGTGATGCTGAGACATTTGTTAAGTGAGTTTTGCCCCATTTCACGACCCTTTTGCCACAGTTGTTAAGCGAATCACTGCAGCTGTTAAATTAGTAACGGTGTTGTTAAATGAATCTGACTTCCCCATTGACTTTGCTTTTCAGAAGGTCGCAAAGGGTGATCATGTAACCCTGGGAGGCTGCAACCGTTATAAATATGAGTCAGTTGCCAAGCAGCTGACTTTTGATCACATGACCAAGGGAATGCTGTATTGGTCGTAAGTGTAAAAAGGAGTCATAAGATACTTTTTTCACTGTGAACTGCCACTAGACAAACTGTTGTAAATTGAGGATTACCTGTATTCCAAATATTACATACCCAGAGAGCCAACCATATTGAAGTTGCTTTAAAGCACTGAATATTTGAGACTTCTTTTTTAAACACACAAACTATGTCGCAAAATATTGAAGGCTCTCACCATAAAAAACAAAGTTCCTTGTACTCTGAATATAGAAGGAGAAATATTGGTAATACGACTAGCTATAAATCCATTTAGACATAATTGTAATTGCTCTTATCCATTAATTGAAATTTTCCAGGCTGCATTGATGCAGTCATCTGCACATGGAGCTGCCTTTGAAGGCTATTCAAAAAAATCACTGGACAGGGTGATGAGTGGCACATAAATGTAATAAAATAATCTAGACACTTGGGGCAGAGAAATCTAACACTTGTATTGTGGGCAGAGGAGCTGTTTTCTTTCCATACTGTATTAAACCTCTTCTCTCCCAGTCACTTGCATGGAATTCCTTGCGTTCTCCAGGATGCAGTTCTATGGTTGCCAGGCTAAAAGTGCAAATTTCAAGCTTCCTGGGAAATTTAAATAAACTCTGCCCATGCATGAACTTGCCCAAATCTACCATGGAAATACCCAGAGCCCCTTTTCTACATGCTATCCTTCTCTCTCCCAGAGCCATTTTACAACCATCTTGTAGTCTCTAACTTGATGTAGATATTCCTTCTTCAATACGTTATTTTAATATGAATTTGTAGTTTTTCTTAAAAGTTATTTTATTATTTCGAAATTTCAATGGACTGAGAGGTAGAATCTAAAATTGAAGAAAGTTAACAACCTATACAGCACATTACTACTTCATATTCAAGTAAGGTCAATTTCACACTGTCAATTTATAATTACAGTACAGAAACTTTGATTCCAGGGAGAAGATCTTTAACAGAGTTTTTTTCTATTCATATATGGCTTCAATTCTCTACTTCTGCCAAAGTAAGTGTGGAAAGCATCACAGAATTTAGCGATTTTCAAATTTCAACTACACTTGCATGTCTAGCCTAGTAATACAGAACCTATGGCCCTCCAGATGCTGAACTACAGGTAGTCAACTTACGATTGATTGATCTGGTCAGTCATTTTACAATTGTTTGGAGTTAGGACTCTCTCAGAACAGGTGCTTTACATCCCATAAAGCATTTCGGACCACCATGTTATCAACCCCGAGGTCACATGACTGCATTTTCAGTGCCCGGCAACCGTCTTACCTTTACAACTGGTTGCGGTGTCCCACAATCATATGACCTTGATTTGCGACATTTTGCCAATTTCGGGCAAAGAACACCCACTCGGAACAATAATTTATTTAACAACTGTTCCATATGCTTAACAACCATGTAATTTATTTGCTTAATGACACCATGAAAAATATCTTACAAAATAAACTGATCTCAGTTTCTGATCTTAATTGTGGTCACAAATCAAGGGCTATCTGTACAGGTCCCAGCACCCACATCTGCCTACATAACAATTCTACTCTCTTCCTATTAATATATACAAGTAGAGTCAGTAGATAAAATGCTAAAAATTCTTCTGATGTCATTATATTCAATTAGGCTATATCAAACTGCTTTCTCTCTTCATTCCATACTGTGTAAATTACATATGTTATTCTACGTCATGTTGAAAACTTAACAGAACATTCCTCTCCCAAAACTTTTAAGTGGAAAAGATAAAGTATCAACCTGTCATTCCAAAAGAATAGTTCTCAGCTTATAGGATAGGCTGAGACTGGTATGCAAAATTTGGCAATAAGCATATGCAATTATCAAGTGTGAAAAAACAAAGAACTCCTCAAAAGCAAATTTTCTCTATAGTATCTCTCAATAATAAAACGATTACAGATTTAAACCAACAACCTCAGGCTGGGACTTTGCATAACAAGTTTCATGGACCAATGCACATTTAGATTGCAGCACTCTTTAGATACAGCAGAAATAAAGTAATTAGCATCAAATTCTGCTAATAGCAAACATCTTAAAAACTCTACCTGGCCAAACTTCAATAAATAGTAGAAACTCACTGACATTATATGTTCATAACTGATCTCAGAACCCCTGGATTGTATGTATACATAGAAAAATACACTATACTTAATGGTCTGGAGTCAGATATAGCTAAAATCCCCAAAGCAAAGGTTCATATTTTCCATGGAATGTTTCTTTAATATATATTTTTGTTCAAGAAACTTCAGGAGACATTTCAACTGGGCTTTTTTCATCCGGGTTTTGCTTCCTTTGAGGATTTAGAAAAAAGCAGAAGAATGACAGCAAGGTGTCTTCCATTTCTTTTCTGGTTTCCATATCTTCATAAACTTGGTTTCATGACCAACAGAGTTTAAACTATTGCATTCTATTAATTTGTATTCATATTTCCAGAAATTATTGGTGCTCAACATAGCTAACAAGTGACATAGAAAGCACCCTACAAATCACATTGTCAAATAACGAAAGCATTTTAAAACATGCCTGTAATAAAACAGAAAGTAACGATTTAGCTATTTAGTCTTGGGACTCCCTATTTAAAATGTTTTGGCTTAGTCTGGAAAGAGTAACAGAGAAAACTTCTCCCAAAATTTAGAAGCTGTCCATGTGAAGACCTTCTACTCCTCTCATGTGCACCTCAAATGGTGCCAGAACTGAGAAAGGAGGTTCTTTTATCAAGACTTTAAAGGCAGGGCAAGTATAGAGGGAATTATTGTGGTCTTTAATGAAGAGATACATAGTTTACAACTAGTACTCACATTATCCCTCAAAACAATAATACTCAATGGAACTGTTTCAGTATAGGAAGCCTTAGTCTCTAACCTAGTTGCATCCTCTGGACCCCATGAAATTTCCAAAAACTTTTCAAAGACAGCTCCACACTACATGCTACTAGTATCTCATCAGGATGTAATCAAGGCACAACTGTCACAGTGAAAAGATCTGATATCTACAGTCACTGCAATCAATGTGCTTGAATATCACGAAACCTTGATATCAAAGGAAGATTCAGAGCACTGAGAGGAGTTTGCCCCACCAGGTCTATACCCTGACCTCCTTCCAACGGAACACAAAATTCACACCATCACCAGACCTTTGTCTAATACTGTCATACAAAAAGGGTGTGCGTCAATCTAAGTACATTTGTATAATCAAAAAGCATTCCTACATACAGGTATATATTACGCTTACAAACTCCTTTGCATTTTTTCATACACACTTTGGAAATACTGGTGGCTGAAAAGCTCTATTGCCATTTCTACTAGTAATAACATTGCCAAATCTATTTATGTATGCAATGGGGTTTTAAGCATCCAATGCAGTCTCAAGTGAAATCTGTCCCTTCTTGTTAACTCTCAAAAACCAGTTGTTGTTCAGCTGCTCTCTACCCACTGTTAAGAAAAATCAAAGTTCTCCATCCAGGCAGCATAGGTCCAACTGTGAGTGATCTGATATCCATGCAACAGGTGTGGCCCACAAAGTCCCCCTTGACAGCCAGAGGGGCAAAAGTCAGTAACCCTCCTCCCATTAAACCAGAACAGGCAAGCTGTCCACACAGTTCATGCAACTCTGCATTTAGAATAACCTACGGGAAGAATCTGAACTTCAAGAGACCTAGTAAAAAACCCGCCATCCTGTCTTATATCCAAGCACGAAACCACCTAGGAGTCCGCTGGTTTAGGGAGAGAGAAAATGCCAACGCAATTCTCCTCTCCACCCACCTTCTCTTGGTAAATCTCTTTGGAGTCCTCCATAATCCCATGCAGGCTGCACTGATCGCTAAAGGACTGCTGGGTAAAGCAGGCCTTTCCAGTTGGCTGCTTTGCTTTGGAAAAAAGCAGGCTTCTGGCTCACTCTGTTAAACTGGACAGCATTGCTTTTAAGAGGGCAGTTCTATCCAAGGGGCAGAAGGGAGCTACTCCATCCAGAAGCAGCCATAACCTCTTGGGCAGTTAAGCTCTCCATTTAAACAAACCCCATCACACAGATGCAGCTGAGTTAAGAAACATCCAGTTAGACATTAAAAACTAACCCTATCATTTTAATCCAAATCCCCAATCAAACAAAACAGAAATGTAAATTAATGGGAGAGGAATGAACACTTCCACCTCTGTGTTGAATGCTTTCTAATTCTTCCCCACCCGCCTTTAGAATAATACAATGGGACCAACCATTTTGACCCCACACACAAATAGAGTGTGTCCCCCCCCCCCCTGGCTTAATTCTTTGTGCAAAACATACCAGCAGATATGCAATGGACAGGAAAATAAATTAACAGATCCTCCTGCTGAAAAATATATAACTCAATTATTTCAGTAAGGATGTAAAGGAAGCCATACCTCCCACCACCACCATCATCCACCACACAGTCACTTATTTATATAAGCCAATGGAAACATGAGGCCTAGGCTTTAAAGGGTACATAGACATATTTTCAGTTTGCTTCTTGTGATCGATCTAATTCTAAGGCCTTTTACCATGCATCCTTCCTGAACGCTTTCTAAACAGATTTCTTCTCATGCAGCAAAATGTTACATAAATCAACAAAGATTGAAAAGTCTGAAGTAAATACAGCCTCAAGATACAAAGAGCATTGATATTCAAATACAGTTAAAGGAATCAACACTGGGGTTAGAAAAAAAAAATGCAAACCCTCACCTACCTCTCTCTTCTACAAGACGATCCAGAAATTCTCACCCGCCAAAATCCATAGGCAAGATACAGCAGAAATCATTATCCCAAAAATCGAAAAGGGGGGGAAAGGAAAGCTTTGCATTTGTCCCCTCCTTTCCAAAAAGAAAAAAGAAAAAGGAAAAAAAAAGATGCCCAATAAGATGCTGGTTGCTTACTTATAGCCACTCAGGGGAAAAAAAACAACACACAAACCCGCAAACACATTTAAAAAAAAAGGGTTAGAAAGGATGCGAAATCCAAATATCCGAAGATTTTTCTCCACCCGGAGGGGCGGGGGGGGGAAAACAAAAAAAGCCAGGCAGCCCAGCCCCCTTACACAAGGCAGAGGGTGCTTCGGCTTCCTTCCACCACGATACTTCGGAGTTTCAAAATAAGGCAAAAGAAAAGAGCGACGAGCCAGATCTTCCTAGGACGGCACACAAAGGGAGCTCCGGGGTTGCCTTTGATCTTCCAGCAGCCGCATCCGAGGAAGAGATAGATCCCTGCTTTCGGGGCTGCCTCGGTCGCCCTTCCTAGACCTCCCACTCCTCCCCCCCCCCCACACACACTCCCGTGTTCTAAACGAGAGGCGCCCAAAACAGACCGCTTGGGAGGCCGGATGGAACGCCGGAGCCCTCCGGATGGAACGCTGAGGTCTTTCCGAGGGAGGGGGAGCGAATGGAGGGAAAGCGAACGTTCAGAGTTTCCCGTCCGCTGGAACGTTCATACTTTTGCCTCCCGCCCCGCCTTGCAAAGCCTCCCCCTCGCGATGTGGCCCCCGCCGCTGCCGCCGCCGCCTCAAACTAACCCGGAGCCTCGGCTTATCACCATCCCCATTTGCACCCCTGAACCTTCCCCCCCCAGCAGGCTAAATGCCCTCATCGCCGCCCCCCCCACCTCTTCTCTCTCTCTTTCTCTCTCTCGCGAAGAAAAAGCTGCTGCAACCCAAGCTTTGCTCCGTGTTATCGGCCGGGGGGGAAATTTCCCCTTCTTTTTTTTTTTTTGGTCCGCCCCCCCCGTCCCTTTTAATCTCCTCCCTAGCTTCTGTTCCAGGCCTCTTCTCTTTCTTTTCCTGTTTCGCTCTCTCCTTCCCTTTTTGTTTTGTTTTTTTTGTTTTTGTTTTAAACTTCTCACCTGCTCCCTTCGCACTCTAATCCTCAGCTCGAGCAGAGAACGGGAGTCAAAAAAGCATCGGTGGCAGAGCTTTATCTCCCCCCCTCCGCTCGCCCCCCCCAACCCAACGAAGGGCTTTAAGGAATTGAACAGAAAGTGTTCACCGAGGCAGCCATTTTCAGAGAGGAAAGTAGGTCCTGCTGGGCCAGCTCCGGGTTTGCTTAAGCTCCCCCTCCCTCCTCCTCCTCCTCCTCCTTGTATGCAAAAGGGAGGGTGGAATCCCGGAGTTAGGGACTTGTCCCTCCTCTTCGGCCCCCTTTCTCGCTCCGCTTCCTCTCCCCGTTGGACGGGAAGGGACCAGCTTAAGGCCTGCTCCAATTCCAGCCCCTCGCCTTCGGCGCGAGATGGTTGCGACGGCCTCGCGAAAGGAAGCAACCCCGAGCACTTATTTTGTGTTGGAAGCTCGGGCTTCGGCGGAAGGAGACGCCGAAATGGCGCGGGGGGCGGGGGGGAAGTGAGCAACGCATCCGTACGGAGCCGCAGCGCACGCTTCGGTTGGGCGGATCACTTCGCCGGCTTTAACCCTCCGATGCCCGGGCCGGGTGGTTACAAAAGCACGTGGGATGGGTTCAGAGGTCCCTTCCTCCTTTCTCCGCCCTGGCCGGGAGCTGGCGGGAGAGGAGCGGGACAGGGGCACCTCCCGCAGGAGACGGCAGCGCCGCGGCTTCCTCCTCGCACACGCGAAGGACGTCCCGAGGAACACAACAATAAAAAGGGGAAGAGCCGGCACCCTTTGGCCCGAGCCCTGGACGGAAAAAGCCTTTTTGCCGAGGCCCAAAGGGGGCGCTCGCTCGCTCAGACGCCGGCCTCGGGGACTTCTCCAAGCGAGGTCCCGCTGCGCCCTCCAGCGGTCGTAGCTTATACAACTCTTCCCCGGGACTCTGGTGCTTTTTTTTTGGGGGGGGGGGGGCGCTTGGGAGTTGTCTTTCGAACGATTTCTGCCCGTCGATTTGTCCGGCGCCTTTCCAAGGAAATGGATCCAAGTCGATCTCTATGGATCTTGGCTGCTCAGATCTGGGAGGAGGATGCCCAACGTAAGGAGCTGCGTTAGATTGAATCCACCCCTTTTCGGTCGGGTAGTTCGACCCCGACTGGTCGAGGCTCTTATCTATACAGTTTCCGACAGGACCGATTCAATCGGAGATCTCCGCATGGAGAGAACATGCTTTTTTTTTTTCTTCTTTGCACCGTGCTGTAAAAAAGTTCTCTTTCAGAATGGGGTATGTGTGTGCTGTGTGCACACGTAGTTAGGCGGTGCAGTGTTGTGGATTGGACTCAGCATGGACGCTTTAGAGTGTGCGGACATTAAATGTTAGCTCCTCGTTGTAGCTTCTTAGTGCAGCCAGGTTATTTCTCAGCAGGCTGTCACCCAACCCCAGAAAAAGACATAGCTGCTTTCAAGAGGTGCAGATTTTATACACTTATTGGGCCTTTGCTCGTTGTAAAGCCTCCATTCCTAATTATTTCCAAAATGCTGCACACTTCTAATGTTAATATTACACACCAATATCGTCTCTGAGAACACCTTCAAAAGTGTCCCCTCTCGTCCCTGCATTCATATTCGGTCATCAAAAACTAGAATGCCTTTGTTTTCCACATGCGGCCCCTGTGAAGTAATTGGATGCAGCCAGATATTTTGGTAAATAGGCCCTTTCAGATTGTCAAAACCTACTCCTATGGATTAGCTTCAGCCTTTTGGTTCTGGGAATTTTTAAATGTAAATATTATGAAGCGTTTGTAATGTCAGGGTAGTGATTTTAGGAAGTTCTAGTAAGGAATTGCTTGAAGGCCTGTTGGGCAACATTGTAACTCGTGCTTTGCTTTTATCATAATTGAAAAAGTATATATTGAGGTTCATTCATAAATATATTTTATAGATTAATCTCTGTTTTTTGGATGCTGTGTGTGTTTCTGATCAATTGGTTTTATATAAATTAATGTGATGGTTCGGTTTGCAGTCATGAGGTGGAATATAAATATAAGGGAGGAAATAAAAGTTTGATTAATCCTTTGGCTATCTTTAGTGTTCTTAAAAATCTTACATGATAGATTTGATCAAAGACATTTAATTTTTCAAAGAAACAAAAACATAAGGTTTACTTCCAACCATGAAGAAAATGTCTATATAGTTCTAGCAAAACTTAGGCTTACTACCATATGCACAAATAATTTTATGCTTTAGGAATCTTCATTTTGGATTACAGCAGCTTTCTGTACAGATTTTCCATTAAAATATATATAAATTTCAGTGCATACATTTTTGGAATAACAGAATGTGAATGTTACTGAAATCATAGAGCTGGAAGGGGATTCTTAGGTATAATATTCTCATAGCAATTAATGCCAGTCAATAAGTGGGCTACTGTATTTTGAACCAGGATCTTTTTAAAAAGATTGTTAGATTGGTGAAATTCAATGAAAAAAGAAAGTCTACATTAGATAGTGACAGTAGAATAAAACACATAAAGGATTTTGTTTTTTAATGTTTTAATTGGTTGAGTTTTATAGTTGTAAGTGATTTTATATGATTTTTGATTAGAAACCTCCTAGAATTGGTTGAAAGATGGGCTGCTGTATAAATGGTTTAAATAAATAGAAGATAGATAGACAGACAGACAATGGACAACTTTTTAATAAATCATTCTCTTGTTTTGCCAACCAGTGACTGCATCTAGATAATTATTCTTTATGGTGAACCATAAATTTGGTTAAATTTCTATTCTTTGTTCATATTCCACCTTTATTATTAACAGGTCTAGGCAGTGAGCATACTTCATATTCCTTCCTCCTCCTCCTATTTCCCCACAACTCTGTGAGGTGAGTTGGGCTGAGAGACAATAACTAGCTAAAGTCACCCAGCCAGCAGTTATGCCTAAGGTGGGACAGAACTCACTGTCTCCTAGTTTCTTGCCGGGTGCCTTAGCCATTGGACCACAGGATACTATCATATTATAGATATGCAAGATATACTGAAAGTCAGATTCTATATATTTTATTATTTTTTTCCTGAGAAAATGTTGCTGTACTGTACTTAGGAATGTTGATTCATGCATCAAACAAGTATGATTTAAAAGAAAATGGCAGACAATTCAAACATTTAATGTAATCAATAATAAATATTCTATGAAGCTTGACTTTTGCTATACCCTGTATACCGGGGCTCCCAAACCCCAGGCCGTGGCCCACTACCAGGCCTTGAGCCCTTCAGAACCGGGCCGTGGAAGTGACAGGTGAGTATATGTGTGCACACTCAATCCCCACATTCATGAGACGTGGGAAAGCATGCTCTATTTGTGCAGAATCATCCCCTCCCCCCCCCAATCCACAAAGCCACATAGATTGGGGAACTCTGCTAGATACTATTAATTTTGCTATTGCTCGTATTTTTACATTTTAGTTTCCCATTGGCCTGGTTCCTCTTTTCCAATGTTGTACCATATTTGTTCTTGTAGTTGTACAAGAACTACACATGTCTTATTCAACTGTGTTTCTCTATTATGTTTTCTGAAATTATGTCTAATAAAATATTTGTGACTTCAATGTCAATTTTATTTTGAGAATTTTCAGAATATTTTGATGTATTTTTTCCAATACTTTTCTGGATTTTTGTTTTAACTTCACCACCATGAGGATGAGTTGTTCCTCCTTTGTAATGGTATTTCCAACATGTATTAATATGATTTGCCTCTATTGACAATTCATCTGTAAAAGAGTTTACACCAATTTGAACCAGCCATTTTCTGAGGGGGTCTTCACAAATAATCCCATGTGGGGTCGCCTTGGTGAGATGGGTAATGAATGAATAAATGAATGAATGAATGAATGAATGGTTCATTGCAAAAGGCTAACCAAGTGGTGCAAAAGGCTAACCAAGTGGTGAAATGGGCGTGAGTCATTAACCTTTGCTTTTCAGAAGTGAGGACTGAATAGGATAAAATGATTTTATTGTTTTGTCTCAGCTGAGCTGGTTCTGTTTTTGGAAATCCACTGAATTATTATTCATGATTACAGTATTAGTTTTCATTTCACAGTGCTGCTTTTTTTTATTTATACTTATACTTTTACTTCATTTGGAGAGGAGTATGAAGCTACTTG